CACTAAGATCAGCGATTCTCAACTCTGTTTTGCCAAGTACCTTACAAACTGCAGCTCCCCATGTTCTACAATCCTGTGCCACTGCAGGCTGCATCTGTGCCACCATGGATGTCTTCTAGGAAGTCTATGGTCCACCTCTCCTTCCTTTTAACCACATGTAGTCCTTGGTGCCAAAAAGCTGGGACATGCCCCTAGAAACAGAGATAACCTACACAAACCTGGATGGGGCAATTGGCAGAGCAGGAGATGAGTAACAGGAGGGGAATCAAGGCAGAATCCACAAGGATGGGAGTAAAAAGAGAAGCTACTGTCCCCTTCCCTGGCTTCTGCTGAGGACCAGTGACCCACAGCAAAGTGCCTCTGCCTCCAGTGGTGGATCAATACTGCTCAGCTCAGAGTGGACCCTGCAGTATCACAAAGCCCAAGGAGGTTGTCTACATCCCACTGCTACCTCAGGGAACTCTAGGAGGTAGTACCGAAACTGATACACATGGACCTACACCCCAAAAGGCCTGCTCCTCTCTGCCTCCCCCTTTCTTTCTGTTTCCCTCTCCCTCTGCCTCTTGAAAAGCATGATACCAGCATTCAAGATAGCAGCAACAGCAACAGAGGAACACAAAACAACAGTGCTGGACAGATGCCTTCTCTCCTTGATGTCTTGTCCTCCTTGTCTTTGCATCCATGTATATGGTTGTAGGACTGATGAGTTTTCATTTTTGGTGATTAATCCCACAGCCTGCCCTGCCTCTTAGGTGGTTGCACTGCTTGAAGCAGAACATCACAACCCAGAGGAGAATGAGCCAACAAGAAATAAGGGAGAACATGACCTGTGCTTCAAAAGATGGAAGTTGGAGTTTAAAAAAGGGGCTATGGTGGGGAAAATAATGAGCTTAAAAAGGGATCAGATGCCAGCTAAGGGCCATGAAAAATAGATTCTGCTGGGTTAGTGAGCGTTGTCCAAGGGAAGCCAGCAACAGTCAGAGGGCCCTTCCACATTGACCAAAATACCTAAGTATCACTAAGCATGTGGTAGGTCTATTTTTAAGCTTTATGTCCACGTCTGAGGACAAGTAGAAGACAGAATTTGATTTCATCATGAACCTGAGGTCATTACAGATACTGCTCAGGGAATGACCTGCAAGGGATGTTCATGTGTGGTGACTCTAAGCTACCGGTCCAGAACCTGGTCCTTTAGCTTAAAGCTACTGCAATCTCCTCAGTGCAGCCACAGGAGGTCCTACGTTAATCCTGCATGGCCTAAGCAGAAAGTCACATTAAAATAATGGACTAAATGGGAGCTGTGGATATATAAGTTAGGTGTCAGCAAAGAAAATCCGTTGTATTGGCAAGGACAGCAAAACAACCTGGAACAGACTGCCTAAGGCGATGTGAAGGCTAGACAAGTATCTGCCGGGCACGGCACTGCCTCTGGTCAGAAAGGTGGGTGAGTCTCTTTTCAGTTCAGTTTTCTATTACTGAATGAGTGACAAAACCAGCAGATGCAAACACTGTTTCATAGCCCCTCCCCTCCAGCCGGAGGAAGTGTGATTTCTTTATTTCTTTCACTCCCTCTTTCATTCTTTCTCAAGGTTCATATGATTAGGGGAAGAAACTGTACTTTAAATCTGGCCTGTGAATGAAGGTACATTTGCAGACCTCTGAAAGCACACCTGAAGATCCTGTTAGTCACACAGAACAGAGTGTGGATGTTTGCCCAAGTGGACATCTGCTCAACCAAGCATGCAGGATTATCTACAATGCTGTTTCTTGATCTGTGATCCAGGGAGCACTGGGGTCCATAAATCATCAGGTGGTCCACAACCTCATAGCACACGCATGACCAAGCAAACACACATGCACCGGACACTGCGCCAGCATTTTGCTGGTGGTGCTTGAGCTCCCCCTCACACTGCCTGCACGCCCTCCCTGGTTTGCCTCGTTTTCTGAGCATGCGCAGTTGAAAAGCACTGACCCAACGTGCTCCTGAGGATGGTTCCAACCATCCTCATCAGCAGGATGAAAAGAGCAGTGTGTAACAAAGAGGCAGACAACAGAAATTTCTCTGTTTCTTTGCATTTAAGACACAAAGGGGAGCGCAGGACTAGATGATAATCTGGAGAAGACAGGCAGGGTTTCACTGGAGCTGACCGTTTTGTAATACACCTCATGGACAACACAACTGTTGACAATTCAGGAGACCTGGAGATCCTGTCTGGACTTCCTCCCCGTTTCCTAGCACTAAAAGACAAAAACTGAAGACTGCCGAAGTTAACAACTAGCTGAACAGCACAGGGGACAGACGTTAGATTTGTGGATCGTGTTGTAAAGAGAAAGTCACCTCTGGATAGGGAATGAATGCACACTCTGTAAGCCAGGCCAGCTAGGAGAGTCTGATTAACTAAGCAACCGAAAGCGCATTCAACACAAAAACATGAAATCAAGCACAGTATTAACCAAAGCAGAGGCTATGACGACCTTTTTCAGTTGACTATATGCTAATTACAAGTGTCTGCAAAACTGGATAAACCTTCTGCCTGCCGAGTGGCAATGCAAAATAATACTGAAAACCAACAGCTAGATTTAGATTATTAGAGTATTAAAAGAAACAGTTGTAACCAATTTAAGAAATCTAAATGGAAGAGGGAAATTGACAGGCCCTGTACGTCACAAATGATGGCTGTCCAAGTGACTGACAACTTGGAAGTAAGTAATCTTGGATATTTATGAATCAAGATACATCCAAGGGTGGCTATTAGTTGGTATCTGTTACAGACTGTTGGAATCACTGTAGAGCACAGGATGATGGGCTTCTATGACACCGATATACAAGAAGTACAAAAAACCCCTTGTGTTATCTCAGGGCCATTCAATCCGAACAATTTATGCCGGATACCTTATGTCACTAGCACTAAAACATGACTGTACTTTCCAAACTGCTATGAATGACAAGTTACTAACTCTTAATTTAAAGAAAAGATCAGCCTTCTTAACCCTGTGAACTAAAGCTCCTGCCAATTAGCTAAATGAGTCATATACATTATAGGCCCTGCAGCATCAAAGGGAATGCAGAATTCAGGAGCAGTTCACAGCACAACAACCACAACGTGAAGAACTTGTGGGACGAAGCTAAATTCCACTGCACACAGCTAAACCCCACAGCGGTCCCCTACCACGCCAGGTGCAGCAGGACCTGTTGACTTGCTCCCTGCCCAGCCAGGGACAGCAGCAGGCAGGAGCTGCAGTGCCAGCACAAGCACAACTTACTGCTGGTCGTATGATGTAGCTACACCTGAACTGTCCGTGAGTCGTATTTGGTTTAGCAGAGAAGCCATACAATCCCTGCTCTAGACTTTGTCTCAGTAGGGAGGAAATGATCACAAACCAGAAGGTTACCGGTTGTTTAGACTGAAAAGGATCGACCCTTTCTGTGGAAATAACCAACGTTGTCTGCGATCAAATCCAGACTAGTAAAATTTTATGCTCTCTTCCAATATACATAAACTAAAATCACAGTGCATGCTTTCTGAGAGGCAATTTCACAAAACTATAGCAAATGGGAGTCAAATCAGGCTGAAGACAGAACGTACATAAAGTTGCTGACATCTGCGAATGGTTTAAGACATTTCCTAAATGCCTACAATGTTAAAACCTTGAAAAGAAGACTGGGCTAGATAAAAATAACACACAATGAAAAAACCCAACAGCTGGGTTTGCCAGGGAAGTGAAAAAACATATAAAATGTTATATACAAAACTGACACATGAAGAGGGAAAGGCAGAAAGATAATAACGAGTAAAAAAGCTAAGATAAAGATTATATAGAGGAAGCAAGAAGATACTAGAAAAAATTAAGGCAGATAGAATCAGATATATAATTTTCAATTTTGCTAAGCAGATCATGAAAGACAAATCCTGGACAATAAAAGTGGTAGAATAATTCATAACAATATGACAGCGGCAGAAGTTATTCAATAAATATTTCTGATTAGCACACACATAAGAGGCTGGATGATCTGTTTATGATGATGATGAAACAACTTCCCACCACAGCGGCCCCTGGAGAGGGGACATTAAGCAGCAGATACACAATTCTAGGTGCTTCAGATTAGTTGCTGGAAAAAAACTTGTCTCAGAAGGTTTCAGAGAGCTAGCCTTGGAGCTGCTACTGCTGCATCTAACGCAGTTCTGGGCCCCTGGGGAAGGACCAGAGGCAGGAGGAAGGTTCATGTTGGGCCACTGTTTAAGAAGGGTAAAAAGTAATTACAGGTCAGTACAGCTGAGTTTCCAGTATTTTGCACAGGATAGAACAACCAACATAGGACTCAATTAATAAAACCTTAGGGGGGAAAAAAAAAAAAGCTCTATAATTAAAGTCAGTCACCTTGGCTTTAAGGAAAACAGATCCTGTCAAAATAATCTGATGTAATTTCTTGCAAAAATTGCAAGTTCACTTGACGAAGGCAGCGTTGTTGACAGTATTACAAGTCTAAGTCATTTGACTTGTTCTGTAGAACATCTTTATGAAGAAACTGAATGCTTTGAAGCTTGTATGGAGTGTCTCCATCTGTACATGGAGAGCAGGACTCCATAGGGGTAGAGCACTGTATGAGGTCAGGCAAAAATCTCAAACATATTTTGTACTGAAGTCACTTCTGAGTCCACAATCATATTAAGTGTATTCAAAAATTGATAAATGAAGGAAGCCAAAGTGTAACTGTAAATGGGAAACTATTTATTAGCAAACAGATGGGTTCCTATTGGGTTCCCACAGGTATTGGTGATCATCCCTTTACTATTTAATAGCCTTATCAGTGACCTGGATTAAAGTTAAATCATTATGGTTAGATACGAGACTGGGAGCAGCAGAAACCAAACAACAAAAAGACAAGCCTGACACAGAGCAACTGGGGTCTGTAGAAAGATGGGAGAAACCAGTTTAGGTGTTAATATGGCCAAGTGCAGAATCACCTTATTAGAATAAAGAATACAGGCTATACTTACAGGATGAGAGGGAGAGAGAGGACTCTATCCTCCGAAGCAGAGACTGAATATGAGACCGGGGGTCCTGGGAGGCAATCAGCTGAACATGAATTCCCCACACAAGGCTGTGGCCAAAAGGGCTAATGCGAGCCCCAGCTGTACAAACAAATGAAAATCAAAAGATGAGTAGGGAGGTTACAGTGATGCTGCATTTGGCTCTCGTTCCTCTGCTCCGTGAATAATAGATCAGGTTCTGCTGCTCCAGTTTTCAAATTAAGTGTTGGAAAAATTGGGAGAGTGTTCAGGGTAGAGGGATTAAAGAACTGAAAACACTGGGTAGCAGAAGGCTTTGTTATAAACAAAAAGCTTAAAGGGAATTTTGTTATTTTGTTCACAGTATAAGAGTATTCATACGGGGAATAAATTTGATACAGCAGGCTCTAATCTAGCAAAGGTGGAAAACGCATTGGAACCGGAAACTAATCCAATCCAGACTGTGAACAGGCAATTTTGGTTTGCTTTTTCAGCAATGATCTGTTATGGGCAATTAACCAGTAATTAACCCTTTACACCACAGGTTGTGATGTACTGTTCATCTCCGCAAAGTTGTGAAAATAACCGTGCTTGATTTAAAAAGGATGCACACCCACGCAGCTTGGGTTATTAGGCAGGAAGCAGCAGCTCCTGCAGCTGAGATCTACTGCCTGCATAAAGCTGGAGGTCAGGTGAGTGGTCACTCATCAGACAGTGCTTTCTGTTTCCATTAAGAAACGCTCTCTCCCCTCTCAGGGTAGTAAACCTGGCAGCTTTCCTGCTCATGGCCTCCAAAATATCTCCAGGGGAAACCCCAACCTTTTGGGGCTGAGGTGCCATCTAAGTACAGGTGACACCCAACTGTCTGTCTCCTGCAGGATCTGCAGGCAGCTGTCTCTGAACTCCCAGCACCTGGCTCCACACAAAACTTCACTGTGCAAAGCTCCTCACACTGAGGTGCCAAGGAAACAACTTTTAGGAGACTGCTGGGGGTTATTACAGCTCTGCCATTGAGACAGTACTTGCAACTCCTTGCTTCAGCAATTCACTTCATCTGCTGCTTGCTACTGGGATCTCGTCTCAGGGATCTGCCTGGGATCCCATCCCAGGATTCCGCAGCCACAGAAGGTGACCTCGGAGAATTAGGCTGAGGGAAGGAGTCCTCCATACCTCACAGATATTTCCTCTCCCAACTTCACCCTTTCAGGGTGAACTCATGGACTAAGCTACCTTCTTCAGGAAAACAAGCTAGTGCCTTTAAGCAGGGTGAGCGGACGTGAGCACCACTCCGGCAGGCACCTCCCAGTCAGTTCACTTGGGATATCCACATCTTCTCTTTCCTCTTCACCCTGCCCAGGGAACTGGGTGCTGCCAAGAAAGCTTTTGGCTCTGAGTCCCAAGGATGGGGTCTGGCAGGTGGGCTCCTAAGGACCACGTGCTTAGCGGGGGGCCCTGGCTACTGAATTTGCTTCATCCCACAGCCTGCCAATATTTAAGTTTGGTGGTTTTTAAGGATGCAGTGCAAGCTTTTGTCCGTGCTGTCTGTCTTAACCTGGGCCTTTGGCCAGAAAGTATTAATCCTGTCAATGTGCAGAAGTGGGGAAGGCTGGGGAGTGTTTCATTTGTGCCAGTTGCTGGCATCAGCTCATTTTAAGCTTCTGGAATGAACCCACTTATGACTGAATGCTGCAGTGTGAATTCCACAAATAAAACAGATAAAATAATCTCAATTACTTGAGCTCAGCATTGGTTCACATATGCCACTCCAGAGATTTAAAAGGCATTATTTCATACAAACATTTAATTATGTTTAATTATGATTCTACAGATACTTTTCTGTTCAACAGGTGGGAAAAAAACGTGTTTTTCAGACTTTCAGTCACTTGTAGTAAGTGATGCCCGCTAAAACACAGCATACATAGCATAGTAAAATCTCAGTGCTATGTTACAAATATAAAAGAAACATCCCATCTTAAGTAAACTACTGTAGTACAAAAATTCTGCAGAGTGAACTAAAGCAAGAAAGCTTGTGAAAATTTTAGGGAGGAAAAAACCCTGTCCAAGTGTGGTGTGTGTATACATATATATATCTGTGCACATGCATTCACACACACACCACCACATGGTCTCTGCTATACTTGCTATTCCTATCAACAGATCTGAAGACTCAAAACTGTGATTGGCAACTCTTTAGTCACTAAAAGAGCAAAAGTTTTGGGAAAGCTGATCAAGAGCGAGGTTTCAGAGCTACTAATAAAAGATGAATCACTGCTAAAGTACAGTTTGAATTGTGCATTTTTGCATCTTAATATTTTCTGTCCTCTTGGATGCATTTTTCTCCCTCTTCCTCTGGCACAACCCGAGCTACATCCTACAGCATGAGGATGTTCTGTTAAGCACATGTGCAACTGTGTTTTTAAGCCTTGTAAAGGCTTACTTATGTCAAAAGGTGTATCATTACAAGGATCACATAGGCTAGACTCCACAAATTTACTTTTACAGATGAAGTAACTGTGGTAATCTTCCTAAACATAAATGACAGAAACTACATAGAAGCAAACACCTTTCATACATGGATTTAAAAAACCTTTTTGAAATATGAAGGAATAAGTCAGGTGTGAGGCTTGTCCTTTTACTCCAGACACACAGACAAAGAATTAAATGGGAGAATGTGAGACTAACCACCCCATCTGCCTTTGCAAGTCACCCAGACCAGATGCAGAAATGCTATGGAAGTTAATGCAATGAACCCCCGAAGTGTCACTTTCGCAAATCTCAAGAGGCATCATTGACCTGAGGCTGGCTGCAGTTTCTGCCCCAATTCCAGTTTAATGTATTACAGTTTGACCCTCAAGCGACAGTGCTGCTGGAGAACACGCTAAGAAGCAAATGCAGGCAATTGCTTTGACATAATTCTTTTGAATGCAGGCAGATAGAATGCACTGATGTTAACAGAGACCAGAAAAGAGTTTTACCCAGTCTCCTTTTCTCACTGAAGAAAACAATAAGAAAAACAAAGCACAACCCAAAACCTAGCCAAACACATGCCTACCTCTCAGGAGCAAAACTAATACATGCTGTCTAAGAAAGGGAGAACCAAGACAAACGCTTCTAAAGTATCATTTGGATGTATACACAGCATTTCATTTATAGCTTAAATTTACATGACTTGTATATATAATTGGCTCTTTGCACATAACATGCATGAAACGTCTGTTCCATAGAGGTTATTAATCTAAAACCCCAGGAACAGTGTAATTCAGTCTTTTATGGCCATAGTACATTTGAAAGAGTTCCTAACATAGTTCCTTCACCTTACAGCAAACTACTCTTCTTCCCTTTCTCCCATTCCTCTAAAAATTAGGGGACTGCATGGACCTGCTTTCAATACAATTGTCAGGATGAAACCTTCCTGCCTTGCCACTAACTTAAATGTCCAAGCTCTAGCAACTTCAAGGCTGCATAGCTTGATGACAGAGAACGTTGAGGCAACACTGATTTTTCTGCACAGGGACAGGAAGAATAGAAGCTGGGAATATTCTTTCCATGGGAAAGATGAATTATGGCAGGAAACCAGATCAAAGAAGCAACAGTGACTATCTTGAGAAGATGACTATCTTGAGAATAAAACATTAAGCTAAAGATCTTCTTCTCTACCTGGTCACTGTTGCTCCTGAAATAACTTCTGTATAAAAGGAAAAGAGAAAAAAAATGCACATCAATGGCACAGTTTTTCAGAACTCATAAGGGAAAATACCAGAGTTGAACGTGGCTTGTCCCTCAACTTTATACAGTGAAAACAGAACAAAGAAACAGATCCCAAGCTCATTCCCAACTCCCTGTTTTGCCTCCTCTCCCAAGAAAGGCTTCCACCTCTGCTATTCACAATTTACCTTTTCTCCCATTCCTCCAGCTCCCCATCAGTCCATGCAGACAGATTGTCTGTAATGATATCATGCAAAAACCAGATGAGATCCTCAAGGCTTCCCCATTTTTTGTGCCTCTTCTTTTCAAGAAGAGAAAGTTTTGTCAAGAAATGGATTCTTACTTCTCTTTTCTGCAGCTACTTGTGTGGGTCACTCTACCACAATAAAAGTCAGCATCTTCTATCTGACCACGATGGAGAGACAGATAAAAAAATACCATCTTGAATGTCCGTAAGAAGCATGGTCTCTGAGAGAAGAGTGATCATGTGTTACAGCCACTGAAGCTACTTGATCTAGAACATCAAACCACCCCTACACAAATTAAAAACAGATTTTTGTCCTTCTTCATCTACTACCCTTTATGCGACCTGCTCCCAAAATGTGGCCACAAAGTGTGGTCCACAGTTTGGCTGATCATCAGAGGCTGCAGAACCTTTTTCGGCTATGTTGGGACCTGCGTAAATGTTGTAATGTTCAGGGAATAAGGGTTTTAACACCACCAATCATCAGGAATTATCAAACACTTTAGTCCCTGGAGTGTGTGATGTCCTGCTCTTTGCATAACCATCCAGAAAGAAAACTTTGGAATTGCTGCTCTAGAGAGCCAGAGGACAAAGGCTGATCAAAAATGTGACTGAATGACCTAAGGAATTCCTTGAATTTCTCATGCTGTCATGTTTTATTTTTTAAAGCATTTGTCGAGATGCAAAAGTATGGTTGAAACATTTTTCTAATACTAGGAATGAGAAGGCAGCTTTAACCAAAATGAAAGTTTACTATCTATCTACCTTGACTCCTGTAAGGTCTTTGACACAGTCCCATACAACATCCTTGTCTCTAAATTGGAGAGGTATGGAATTGATGGATGGACTATTCAATGGATAAGGAATTGGCTGGATGGTCATATCCGAAGAATTGCAGCCAAATGGAGATTGGTGACAAGTGGTGTCCTTCAGGGGTCCGTATTGGGATCGGCACTGTTCAATACCTTTATTAATGGCATAGGCAGTGGGATTGAGTGTACCCTCAGCGAGTTTGCGGATGACACCAAACCGAGTGGTGCAGCTGATACACTTGAGGGAAGGGATGCCATCCATAGGGACTTTGACAGGCTTGAGAAGTGGGCCTCTATGAACCTCATGAAGTTCTACAAGGCCAAGTGCAAGGCCTTGTATTTGGGTCAGGACAATTACCAGT